ATATATATTTGTGTGTGTGTGTTAAATATATAGAGGGAGAGGGAGAGAATGCTGTCGACTTTTCTGGTCCAACTGTAATGAGAAAACTCTTCACAGAGTTGTGAGACACTAGCACTGAAAGAAGTTACGGAAGAAGCTGAGGGACAGGAAAGCAAAGCCTGGATTGGTTCAGGGTGCCCCACAGGGTCTTAGGTGCCAACCAGCTCTGGCCAAGACCATCCTTCCCCCACTGGGGCAACACAGACCCTGGAGGATTGCAAGGCGGGGGTGTTGAATCTGTTTGTCTGTGTTATGGCTCATCTCCTGTGAAGTGCGGTGTGGAAACAGGGCTGAGGAGCAAGCCCAAAAGCCATGGCCACTGCCATCTCCTCCAGACTGATGTACGAACATGAGCCCTTCCCTCTAGGGTGATACAGGAGAGCCAGGTCCCCCCTCTCTGGGGTGATGCAGGAGGGGGAGGCACCCCCAATATGATGATGCCTGCCCTCAGGGTGCTGTCACCCTCTGTGGATATATTTTGATGATACTCTTTGGGAAATCTGTATGAGAAAATAAAGTAGGATGACATTATTCAATATAACAGTTTTCTCCCTGGAGTACCTGTGTGGCTCAGTTGGTTAAGCATCCAGGCCTCGATTTCAGCTCAGGTCATGTTCTTATGGTTTGTGAGTTCAGGCTCCACATTGGACTCTGCACTGACAGTGCAGAACCTGCTTTGGATTCTCTCTCTCTCTCTCTCTCTCCCTCTCCTCCGCTACATCTCTCTCTCTCTCTCTCTCTCTCTCTCTCTCTCTCTCTCTCTCTCTCAAAATAGATAAATAAACCTAAAAAAAATTCCCCTGAAGTGTGTTTAGGTACTGAGCACTCTTGATGCAACTAGAATAATCAGTTTTTACATATTTGTTCATGCCCTACTTTTCTAGAATGCACCTGTCCTGTAAGGTATGGCATGCTGACGTTTCCCACCAAAAATGGAACAAGTTCCCATTAGACCCCCTACTTTCACACGTGACTCCCTCCTTGTGTTTGTGGCAAGTTGAGCAGCTGCCTTCAACCCAGAGAAACAATTCGTCTTTGGGTGTCTTTCTGTTGTCCAGCCAGTGTTAACACCAACAGCAACGCTTTCCGGGCTCGTGCTCCTGGCTGGATTTCAGATGTGCTTGTTGAGCCGTTGTGCCCAGAGGGAGAAGGACAGCCGCCCAGCACAGGAGACCCACCCAAGCAGGGACCCAGGAATGTGCTGGAGGTCAGCCAGGAGCTCCTGCAGTCCGGGGTCATCGTCCTCCCAGGTAAGCATGGCCACCTGACTCTGTTTGGGCAGCTATAACAAAACACCACAGACTGGATACCTTGTAGACAGCAGACCTCTATTTCTCTATTCTGGAAGCTGATAGTCCAAGATTCCAGCACAGTTAGGTTCTAGTGAGGGCCCCTCTTCCTGGTTCATACTCAACACCTTTTTCACTGTGTCCTCACATCGTGGAAGGGGCAAGGGAGCTCTCTGGGGTCTTTTTTTAAGGCATAAATTCCATTCATGGGACTCCACTCTCAAAATGTAAGCAACTCCAAAAGGCCACACGGGGGTTAGGTTTCACCGTAAGGATTTGGGGGAACACAAACATGCAGCCCTTAGCAATGCCCACCTCCCTTTTAGGTGAGCACGGCTGCCACCTGCGCAGGTGACCTCCTCTCCCGGCAGATCTCACATCTAAGCCAATACGTCAACAGTGTGCAGGCTCTAGCATGGTATTTCCCAAGCTTGAGGCCATGCATGTCCCCACTGGAGCTTCCCCCTTTCACGATGCCCTCTGTCTCTGCAGGGACCCGGGATCACCAAGGGAGAGCAGTGGTACAGGTCTGCACAACGAGCCCGCTCTGGTCCAGCAGACACAGCTCCAGCGCCGAGCTGACCCGCCTGTTGCGGTACCTCCACGGCATCCCCAGGTGGGACTGAGGCAGGTTCCCCCCCTTTCAGACCTTTGGGGTAATGCAGTGCAAGCTTCATGCAGGGGTTTCTGTCTGCAATCTCGAGGGCCCCTCGTGGCATGGGCAGCAAGCTCCCACCTGCCCTTCGGGCTCCTGCCAACTGGCCCCACCTCCCGTCCCCCTACCCCTCTTTTCCAGGTCCTCGGCTGTCCCTCGTGTGTTCCTCTCCTCCTGCTCACCCTGACCTCTCCCCACTGAATCAAGGCTCTGACACACACTCGAGCCCTGAATTCTGTGTTGCTCTGCAGTGTTCAGTACTTGCTCTAAGCATTATGTTTTACACTCCATGTCTTTTGGGATAAAGACCTGAACTGATATAGACAGAATATTTAGAATAAGTAGGTGAAGAAATCCTACCAATGAGTAGTACCTGGTTCCCAGAAGCAGGAAGGACCGATGCATTCTAACTGAGCCTTATGTTCAGCTTGGCAATGCCACATGCCAGGAAACAAGTACAAGCTCCTCGAGACAGACATGACCTCCCTGGCACAAAATTCCGGGAAACCACACCTCCTGGATCCTGCGTGACAACAACGTGTGGAACAGGTCTGCATAGGTGAAGTTCTCTGGAGCATGGCTTCAGATCTCTTACGGACCAAGGACAGAGACGGGAGAGCGGGAGTCAAGGGTGGCTGAAGCGTGTTCTTTTGTAGTACTTGACTCCATCAGATGCAGGCATGGTTTGGATGGCCCTTATGGCGCCCAGACCAAGAGTCCCCTAGGTGCTGGGTGGAGGCAGCCTGTGGAGGCGGCGGCATTGCCCAGCCCTCGAGCTTGGTTCTAAGGTCAGATAGCCCGGCTCCAAATCCCAGCTGTGCCCTTACTGGCTAGGGTGGATGGTGCAACTCCATAAGCCTGTTTCCTCCGCATAACCGGGGATGGTACTAGTTGTCTCAAAGGTGCACAGAGGGATTAGAAATCATCTGTGTAAAGTACATAGAGTCCAGAGCATCATTTTCGTGACCCATCCCACGATGCAGTCTCACTAAGTGCCAGTGACAGAATGCATATCACATGAGGTGAGCTCATGTGGGAAACATGTTGCATGAAGCCTCATCACATGTGACCTTTGCTCTTTGTGCTGCCTCAACTTTATATTGAAATTTCTTCTGAAATAGCATAGGTAGAATCAGTGCGGGAACAATTAGGCAGGAAAAGAAAGTGTGCTCCCTGACCCCCCCTTTCCCAGAGCAAGGTTCCCCGTTATCTGATGACGGGCCTTCGGATGAGCCTGGGATTTCAAACTTAACTTTCAGCACAGATTTAAAAATACAAAAAAAATACCCTGAAAAAAAAAATACAGATTCACCCTCACATTAGCTTATACTTAGTGAACCTCAGGTAGACACCAAAACTCTAAGTTAATGGCATTTTGTATTTGCCAAAAGCTTTCTTTTAAGGGAGGGTCAAGAATTGACTTGGGGTCACACTGAAAAGCAATCCTGATTGACAAGGACGAAAGCCTCCTGTACTTTTTGGGGTGTGTACCATTCTGTATGCTCAGCCTGGTTTACCTGTAAGGCCGAGTGTTGTTCTCTCCCTTCTATAATGAAACACCAACAATAGGGGCTAGGGTACCAGTAGGGATTGGCAGGGCCAAGACTTGACCTTGGTTCTGCAGCCCTGTGACTTTTCCACAGAAAATTCAGATGACTCCACTCCCCTCCCAGAGCAGATATGTTCACCAGCTCGTGAAGCTCCGGGGGAAAGCCTATGTGGAGGAAAACCTAAATTATCTAAAGCACTTAGCGTAATTCAGGCTGGAGCCTCATGGCTTGGCTGATTATTTCTCCACAAGCATTGTAACTTGGTTAGCATCCTGATTGCCTATTGCACCTTGAGGAGCTGAAATCCACCTTGTGGGATATGACACGAGCCTTCGGCGGTCAGAATGAAGTACCCGAGGTGTCAGCACTCATTACTAGGAAGAGTGCCCAGCAGTGTGTGGTCAACTGTTACTGCAGCTGAGTTATAGGGTGAGCGTGCCTTGTGGATAGACTTCCATCAAACTCTTAGATACACAGAATCTTAAAATTAGAGTGGATCTTGGCTGTCATCCATCTAACGTCCTGTGCAATGGAGGAATCCATCCATCCGTCCATCCATCTACCACTTACTTGGGAATACAAAAGAGGACAGGATATGAGTCTTACCCTCTAGGAGACACTCATGGGAACGAACCCAAACTGTCGTGTCTCCCGACATAAGACAAGCCCACAGTGCTGGGAGGGAGCTGCAGCCTCAGCCGGGGATGGGGACTTCCCGACATGTCTGTGTCCTTGAGCATGGCGAGTGTCTGCAGACAAGAAGGGAAGGACATTCTGAGCAGAAGGAAGAACATACACAAAGCCCCAGAGCAGCTGGTCGCTTTCTGAGCAGGAGGCAGGAGTGGGGACTGAAGACTCCATGTGGGCAGCCTGTGCCCCTGGCATGAAGGCCACACTTACCCAGCGTGCTGCAGATGGAGAGGCCAGGGTGGTGCAGGAACGCAGTCCGCAGAAGTGCAGACCCAGGGTGTCTAGGGCAGGTCCGCACATTGCCAGGGGCCCCAGGGGAGCCAGGCTGGGGGCGGCTTCAGGCTGCCTGTGCACGAGCGTGAGGCAGGGGGCGGAGCAGTTAAGCCAGCCAGCTCCATCTACCACGGGAGGCAGGCAGAGAGAGAAGCAAGTTTTGTGTGGGGGTTCACGCTGGGTGGTCTGGGGGCATTCCCCCCCTTCTAATCCCGAACTGGTGTTTACGCGGGAACGAGTCAGTGGGTCCCTCCCAGCCAGTGGAGGACCCAGCAGTCCTCGAACCCAGGAAGCAGCCCCCAGGGAAGGGCTGGCTTGTCCCCTCGGCGGCCTCCCCTTCAGCAAAGCTGCCAAGTGGATGAGATGGGTGGAGGAGAGCGTGTGGTCTGGAGCCTGCAGGGGTAAGTTCCCACGCTGAGCAAGCCTGTGTGGTGGCGGCAAGACCTGGTCCTGCCTCTGAGGCCAGAAGCAGACTTTGAGACGCAGATGCAGGCACCACGGGAGACTTCGGGGATGAAGAGAGAGCGGGGTGGGGGTGTCGGAAGAGGGAGGCCACTGGGGAGCAGGAGGGACACCGGAAGTGGAAGCGGGCGTCCTGCCCGGCTCCTGACAGCACTGCCGGGACCGCTCCCAGAGACGTAGACTCCAGTGCTCCAGCCACCAGGAGGCAACGTGGTTTCTGCAGCAGAGGAGGCCTGGGCGCTAAGCTGGCAGGCTGAGGGGGGCGCTGAGATGGGGGTGTTCTCCCAGCTTGCCTTTCCTGAATCCGGCTTTGATGCCGGAACACCACTCTCTACTCTGGCCTCGGTACACTCGCTTCCCCGAGAAGCACCCCCTTCAGAAGTATTCTTTAGCAGCCACGCCGAAATCGAACACACCCTGACTGTGGGGCACACTCGCCCTTTTGGCCAGGACATGGCTTTGCTGTGATGTGCAGTTCGACCAGCTTTGTGTGAGCGGGCCGGAGTGAGCATGCTGTCTCAGACCAGCACCCACACATACGGCTGAGGTCGAATATTAGTGATCCTGGAAGGTGGGGCTGGAGAAGCTTGCCAAGGAACAGAAACTTTGGGAATAGATACATCGCCTCGCCCTAGCCTATTGTTTTGTCCTATTTAGATCTAAAGTTTAGGGGCGCCTGGGTGGCTCAGTCAGTTAAGCGTCCAACTCTTGATTTCAGCTCAGGTCATGATCTCATGGCTTGTGAGATCAAGCCCCGTGTCGGGCTCTGTGCTGACAGCATGGAGCCTTCTTGGGATTCTCTCTCTCCCTCTCTCTCTGCCCACCCCCCCTCAAAATAAATAAATAAACTTTAAAAAAATAACTAAAGCTTACCATCATCACAGTGGGGAAAGAGCATTTTTTTAAACTTAAAAAAAAATTTAATGTTTATTTTTGAGAGAGACAGAGCACAAGTGGGGGAGGGGCAGAGAGAGAGAGAGAGAGAGAGAGAGAGAGAGAGAGAGACAAGAATCCGAAGCAGGCCCCAGGCTCTGAGCTGTCAGCACAGAGCCCGACGTGGGGCTCCAACCCACAAACCAGGAGATCATGACCTGAGTTGCAGTCAACACTTAACCAACTGAGCCACCCAGGTGTCCCCTTTTTTGTTTTTGTTTTGTTTTAGAGAAAAAGTGTACGAGCAGGGTGAGAAGGGAGGCAGAGGGGATCTTAAGCTCCATGCTCAGCATTGAGCCCGATGTGGGGCTCAATCCCACAACCTTGGGATAATGCCCTAACCAAAGTCAATAGTCAGACACTCAACCAACTGAGCCTCCCAGGCACCCCAGAGCTTTTAAGTGGGGTTGTGAAAAGCACCTGGCAGTATTTTCAGCTTTAGAGGATGTTCTGCTGTCCCACTTTAGCTCTGAAAATGTGATGAGCCAAATGACTGGTCTTGAGAACAACCTGGTCCTTGTTCACGCCATCAGAGTGAATTCCATGTCGTATTAAAGCCTGAACAAACAATCAAAGCTCTGGGGGAGGGTGGTGGGGAGAGAAAGCAACCCCAGGAGATGCAGACGTGCGGCCGGCTCCCCTTGCCTGGAGAGGCTGTCGGACAGGACTGACCACAGTGGGCTCCACTGCCCTTTCTCCCCCCAGCAAGCATCTTGATTCCTCAGAAAGTATAGACATGTGTCAGGAATCTCGAACTTGTAGAGCCAGGGGCATCTAGGCAAGGATGTATCTTCCTGAGAGATGAAGAAGCTCATTTTGGAAGAGATTTCACCTGCAATGGTTAACACAGTCTTTCTGTCTCCAGGAAGGAGGTGCGGGAGCTGGGGCTGGTCATTCTGGTGGACGCTCGCAAGGGTCCGGCCACGCCTGCTCTCTCCCGGGCCCTGGCAGGACTTCAGGTGAGTCAGGGCAACTCCTGTCCTTGGGGGGCTTAGCATCTCAAGGCTGTGTGGGCCACAAGGGGCGCCTTCATGACCCAGGAGCAGCTGAGAATGAATCTCAGGATGAGGTGAGCGTCCTGAGTGTAGACACCGAAAGCAGCCAAGAGCCCACTCCTGTATCCATCAACAGTGTGCTCCCTCGAGGTCGGGCAGTTACCAGGTAGGAGTTTCCTGTCCACCTCCTGGGGTTACCACTGCAGACCTTAAAAGAGGACCAGCCAGGACCGGCCCATGCAGGCATGACCCCCTTCCCTCCACAGCAGCTCCTATCCGGCGTCATGTGCAAAGCACTGTGCTGGGGTCTGGGGTCCCACCTTCTCCCTCAGTTAAGAGCTGTTCTCTCTGTTGGGTCTCTGCTAACGCTGCCAGACTCGGGTCACCGCTCTATCCAGATTCCTGAGTCTGGGGACGTCAAATGGAAGTTCTTCCCGGGAAAGACTCCATGGTAGAGGATGGGACACATCTGGAAGTGCACGGGGTCAGCTAGAGAGCAGTGTGTGGGGAAAGGAGAGAAGAGCCCGGGCAGGCAGGCCGACTATGCATGGAGCAGGGGCTGGGGGAGGCCAGGCCTAGGTGGGAGCGCGGCAGCGGGGAAGGTTAGCAGCAGAGGACGTGCCTGGTCAGGGTGCTGGCGGTGGTGCAACCCCTGTCGTATGCACGAGTGAAGTAGAAAATTCCCGAGGAAGAAACAGCCGACCCAGAGGTGCAGGTCAGGGCAAGAGCTGGCTCTCAGAACAGAGCTCACTGCGTTTCAGTGGGAGAAGCGGGCTCTCAGCAGATGGGTGCACAGTGCCTACCTTCAAAGCCCAAGTCAGCAGCTCTAACGCGGAGTGACAGGTTTGACGTGCTAAAATTCAGTTTCCACGAAGGACTTTGGAAGCACATAATCCCTGTTGCTCATTTCCCCTGCTTTCAACCAACGGCTCGGCTCAAAAATCAGAATCCAGGATATAATCCAATTTGATGCTCATATTCTGCTCAAGGCTTTGAAATCCCTTTGAGGTTCTGTTTTGTTTTTTTTTTAACCACGTGCAATTTTGTATACCAACAAAGACTGAGAAGTTGCTGGAAGTCTTCTGGGAAGTTAGGGGAATGTCCACTTTTCGAACATTTTGAGGGAAGGTCTGCTGAAAGGACGAACAGCCGTGTTGGTGACTACAGGGTTTCCCAGGCGTCCTGTGATTTTGCAGAAAGAAGGTGTTAATCTGGAGGCCTGGGCGTGGCAACCAGAGTGGACAGTAGGGTGTGCTTTATGTGTGTCTGAGACGCACCCTCCTCAGGAGCGAATGCCTCACACCAGTTAATCACCTCAGCACCCTATACGTTGCAACTTGCGAAAGCAGGGGAGAAAAACAACTTTTCTTTGGTTTTGCCTTCAAAACCAAGCTAAAATGTCATTGTGGCTGACCTGAGTTTGAAGCCGCAACCGGAAGTTGTGACCGGATTCCCAGAAAGCGTCTGTCTGCTTCCTGTGCTGGTGGGAACAGCTCACCGTCCTGATGAGGGGGTGTGGGGGCTGCCCAGTCGGCCAGTGGAGTCCAGCCGGAGCGTGAGGGAGCGTCTCTCGGCCTCCGCCTGCCTGCCGCCCGCGCTGTCTCCTCAGAGTGTCCTCCACCCTCAGCCCCAGGGGTGGCCGTGGGCAAGGGGTCCTGCTTCTCATATGCCGGGTCCCCGGGCTCCTCCTCCTCGGACCTTTTCCAGCCCCGCTCATCCGGGTCACTTTTGTCCTTACTGCCTGGAGGCGGCTTTTGATGAGGAGGGCTTGAAACTTGTTTTCAGGGGAAGGAAGCCTGGAATCCAGCAGCAACTTGCCGCCAGGCCCAGGACAACACCCTCCCAGGCCAGCTGGTGGTGATGGAGCCTCTGGCTCTTCGCCGGCAGGGAGGTTGGGGGGGCGGGGGGGCACGTGTGGGGCGAGTCTGAACCCTGTGGCCAGAGCCCTGTGAGGCCGGCGGGGGCTGTGCTGGGGCACCTTTCACAGCAAGGGACTCAGGGAACTCTGATAGCGCCTTGTCATTCCCGGACCGGTATTGAGAGACAAGGTACAGATTCCAGGGCAGGATCGTGGGCACACACCCGGGCAGGTGCACAGTGAGGCCCTGTGCCCAGGGTGGGGCTGGTCCGGAGGGATCAGTATCACCATCTCCGCTCCCGCAGGATGTCCCTGTGCTGCGCCCAGCATGGCACTGACTTTGTGAGAGGTTACTTGAGTCCTAGGAAGAACGCTGCACACGCAGCCGCCTCGCCGTGCTGTGTCATATGCATGATGCGTGTGGGACCTGGAGCACAGCGGGGCTGCGTGACCAGGAAGATGCTGACGCAAGTCTGCAGCGTCTGCGGGCATTTCCTGAAGTTAGGACTGTGGCGGTTCTGCTGCTTTGGCACCCGATAAAAACTTGCAACTTAAGTGTCTGGTCTCAAACAGAGATGGCTGAGCCCTCCCTGCCGATGCACAGGCTTAGCGTCCGCTTGTTCTGCTGTGCGTGAGACCCGGGCAGGGCCCACGTGTAGGCCTAGAGCCCTTCAGCTGTCGACCAGAACCGCTTACCTTTTATCTTTGTAAACACACCCCTTCCCGACGTTTCTGTTTGTTCAGACTTCCCTTAAGTCCTGTGCCACTTGGGTCCCACAGCGGGACAATGAGCCCCAAGTAAGATGGCCCCCTCCACCCACAGTTCTCCCCAAGCAGAACCTGGAGAAACTTCTGCTGCATCTGTAACTTTTTATCAGAAGCAAATCTTGTAAGCAACTTCAGGAAATCAACTTCTCTTCCGTTGTCTGGATGCTGGCATTTGGACTGCCCTGAGGCCTGGAGGCTTCCCATTGTGGCAGGTGTCGGCCCCCAGCCCCCTGGCTTTGGCTCAGCAACAGCAGGGTTTGTTCTCCGAGTGAGAGGCATGAACATAAGCTCGAGTTTGAGGGTTATGCTTCCATTTTCAATTTCATTTCTGAGTTACACACAGAAGTAGTTAAATTTTCTCACAGAAACTACCTCAAGAAACTATACTTCAGCTTTTTTTTAATTATTAAAGTTCAAATACCATCAGAAGCTTTCCATTTCAAAAAGTAACTAATGATTTCTTCTTTTCTTGGTAGAAGAAAATGCTAACAATTGCTGATTCCTACCCCATCCACAGCACAACTTCTGCAAACTGATACTGACAATTGTCCTAAGGCACTAATTGTGTTCTCACTTCTTGGCAATAGCGACAAATCCTAATAGTAAAAATTCACTCAAGAAGTTATATATGAGAAATATAAAACACTTTGCAAAACTGTTTGTAGTTTTAATTCCTTATAACTGAAAATTGTAGCTAAACTGCGTGAGAGAAATAGAATATGACCATGAAATAAAAAAGCAAGAATATTTTTCTATGGGTTTTTCTATGGCTTATTCACTCAACAAATATTTATGGAATGTCATCCACAAGAAGTCACATAAAAATGTAAATATATAAGATGAATTTGATACAAATGAAAAATATCAGTAATTTCTGAGGCCTATCCAGTCAAAATAGCAGATCAAAATCGGAGATTACAAAAAGTGTAAACTCTGTTTATCACTATGAGAAACTATTAAAAAGTAAAGCTTTGGGGAATATGAGTGAAGGAGCACTATGTACATAAAAGAATTTCATTGCTGAACAATCTGGCCTCAATACAATCTAGCAAACAGAAACGGAAAAGGTTTGTTTAAAGTCATAAACACATCAAAAAAAAAAAAAAAAAAAAAACAAGTAAGGTTGGAACAATTGGACATCTCTATGCAAAAGAAGCAAAAATCCTCAACACATACCTCATACAATATAAAAAATTACACGTGGCTCATAGATCTTCATGTACAATCTAAGACTACAAAAGCATCAGAAGGAAACAGGAGAAAATCTTCGTGTCCTTGGTCAGGTAAAGATTTCTTAGCTACGACAACACCATGATCCCAAAAGAAAAACAGGGTAAGCTGGACTTCATCAAAATGGAAAACTTTTCCTCAAAAGTCACCATTACTAAAATGAAAATGCAAGCTGCGAGGCAGGAGAAAATGCAAAACAGATCTGATAAAGTTCTGATCTGTATATATCTGGAATATACAAAATCTCCAAACCCAGTAATAAGACAAACAACCCAATGAAATAAGGGCAAAGATTTGAACACACTTCACCAAAGAAGACATATGAATGGGAAATAAGCACATACAAATGTGTTCAACATCAGCAGTCATTGGAGAAATGCAACTTAAAACCAGAATGAGGTAACACACACACACACACACACACACACACACACACACACACACACGCACACACACACACACACACAACAAAACTTGGCAATAGCAAGGGCTTGGCATTGCTCATGGAAATGCAAAATGGCACAAGCACTCTGGTTTCTTCAGAAGTTAGACATGCATTTATCATATGACCCAACAATCCTACTGCTAGATATTTACCAAGAGGAGTGAAAACTCACGTTCACATGGAGTTTATAGTAGCTTTATTTATGATTGCCACAAACTGGAAATAACCCACATGTCCTCCAGCTGGTGAATGGGTGAATGCATGCTATGGAATACTACTACGTGGTAGAAAGAAATGAACTACTGACATCTACAGCATGGATGCATCTCAGATGCATTGTGGTAAGTGAAAGAAGTCAATACTATATGAATCTACGTATTTGATATCCTAAAAAGACAAACTTATTGAGATAGAAAACAGATCAGTAGCTGCCAGAGGTTGGTGGGCTCAACAAAGGAGATAAGGTAATTTGGGGGACGCTAAACTGTTGTGTATCTTGACTGTGGTGGTAGTTACGTGACTATAAGTTATATCGAAATTCAGAGAACTCTACATTAAAAGGGTGAATTTTATTCTATGTAAATTATAACCAATAAACTTGATTACATTAAAAATTCATAAGAGCAAGTAGCTTACATTTAAGGCACAATTACATATTATGCATTCTAGGTACCAAGGAAGAAATAGTACCCACCTAACCTAGACAACTCTATAAACTCAATGAAGTAAAAAATTACAAAGCTAATCAGTATTTCTTTCTTATTTCAGAACACAGCTCCTCCCATAATTCATAGTATTGTGTTCTTGATGAATAAAGAATCAGCATTTAGGCCTGACAAGGATGGAATAATTCAGGTAATAGTTTCAGACCCTCAGCATTAGATATGACTCTGAGTGATGCATACAAGTAAATATTACAGTACCTACATGAGATAAAACAAATGGGAAGCTTCATGTAAGTTGTGACTGCATCCATATAAGAGCCTGAAAACCCATCTGTGATTCCCTAATTATTTGCAGGAGCCGTACAGAGCAAAATATCAGAAAACTTGTGAAAATCTAATTTTTCTTATCCACCTCATTTGTTTTCCCTCTTCTTTCTTCTTGCTTCTTTCTCTTTTATCTAAAAACTCTTTATTATGCCTTGAAGGGTTTTTTGCTAGGTATGGGATTCTGGCCTGACAGTAGTTTTTTGTTTGTTTTTCCAGCACTTTACAGGTGTCGTTCTGTTGTCTTCCGGCCTCCATAGTTTCTGATGAAAAGTTTGTTGGAATTCAAATAATTGTTCATCTATAGAGTATGTGTCATTTTCCTTTGGTTACTTCCAAGATTTTCTCTTTCTTTTCAGAAAATTGACTATAATGTGATTAGGCATGGTTTTCTTCATATTTACCCTGTTAGGTTGGGTAAACTTGAATTTTTAAATTTATGTCTATCACCAAATTTAGGAAGTTTTCATTCATTATTTCTTGAAATGTTTTTTCTGCCTCATTCTCTCCTCTTGCTCTAGGATTTCAAGTACACATACTGATATTGCCCCATAGGTTTTTGAGAATCTTTTTTTCCCCCAATTTTTTTCTCTCTCTTCTTCAGATCAGATTGTTTCTGTTGATCTGTCTTCAAGGTCACTAACTCCATACTCTATTCACCTCCATTCAGCTGTTAAACCCATCCAATGAATTTTTAGTTCAGATATTGTATTTTTCAACTATAAAATTTCTGGTAGGTTTTAAAATACATTTTCTCTGTCTCTGCTAAGATTTCCTATCCTCTCATTAATTGCAAGCATTTTTCCTTTATACCATTGAGCATAGTCATAATTGCTACTTTAAAGTCCTTCTTTAATAATTCTAACATCCAGGTCTTTTCTGAGTTGACCTCTGTTGATTGTCATTGCCCTTGAGAACAAGTCACATTTTTTCTGCTTCTTCATATGTCCAGTAATTTTGTGTTGTATTCTGGACATGTGAATATTCTATTGAGTATTATTCAATATACTGACTCTGGATTCTATTACAAACCTTTAGCATGCTGTTAACTTGGTTGCACTTGAACTGAAAACTGCCCCCTGTGTAGGTCCAGCTCATTTCTTTTTGCCTTCAGCTGCCCAGAGTCTTTCCCATGTACACTTGGTTCAGGGTCAGCCAGAGTCCTGGGTAGGGTTTACATATGACTGGAGCTCCCTTTCCCTGGCTTTCCACCTTGTGCGACTCAATGTCCACATTCCTCCCTAGCTCTATTTTCTGGATCTTCAGGCCAGAAAGATGCCTGTTTTTTATCAGAGCCTTAGTCAATCCAGTCTCAATGTGTTGGCATCCCACCTTCAGGCCAGAGCCATGCAAATAGGGAGCTCACCCCACACTGATCCCTTCATCCACGTTTCAGTCGCCTTGCTCACTAAGTCTGGCTTTGTTCACCCTCTGGAGCTTTCCAGTGGTTCTTATACTTTGTCTGGAGTCATCTGGGAAGGGCCAACTCTGCCCTCTCAGAGTGACGCATCTCTGATTCCTCACCATCCCTTCCTCCTCTTGACCATTCCCATCTCCCCTGTTATCTTGCCCTCTCTTTCTTTTCGATTTTTCCATTTTTTGGTCTTAGTTGGAAGCTTTCTATCACTCTCTTTTCTGCCCGTTTCCTTTCATTCTCCACACCTTCATTCCTATGCCCAACCACATGCAGCCCATTAATGCCACCAGCAAGGTAGAGTCACTGGATCCTAAACCTGCCTCTCAGCCCTCTTGGTGGTAGTTCTCCCAGGAGTGAGCCATCGCAGTGGTCTTTCCGATGGATGCCTCTGTGGCCATAACCAATAAACACTTCTCCTTGGCAGTGTGAGGTGGTGGGCTCCCTGAAGGCCTTGCACAAACTTGTTGACAGCTCCCAGCTGACCGCAGACCTCGATGGCTCTTTCCCCTACAGCCACAGTGACTGGATCTGCTTCCGTAGGGTAAGGTGCAACTTACAGCCACTGTACCTGCCAGTGTCCTAGGACTTCTCCTCATGCAGATATTTTTACTCACACCTGAAGCAGGTGTCCCCACCCTGAGTGTCACGCCTGTCACAGCTGCCATTCACAGGCTGTTGGACAGCCACACTGTGGCAGGCTTGGGAGTGCCACTGAAGTCCAACCCTGGGTGGGGAGGGTGCTGCACCCCGGTGCATCTGTGGGCACTAACTGTATTATCGTCTCTTACCTCTACTGCCACGGTAGAAGCTGGAGCCCTTTACCACAAACTGTGAGGATGCCATTGTTTTCCTGCAAAATTCAGTCCGATCCCTAAACACCCACAGGACTCTAAGCACAGCACAGGTAGGTTCTCATGTATTTTGTTTTGTTTTATTTTATTTTATTATTTTATTTTATTTTATTTTATTTTATTTTATTATTTTATTTTATTTCACAGGTAGGCAGGTGGGAACATAGAGGCTTAGCCAAACCCACCACTCTTAGCAGAGATTTTCAAACCCTTTTTGATTTGCAAATCCCTTTCACTTAGCAAAAGACTTCCAAAAAACCCACTTCCTCCCCATTGTGACCAAAAAAATCCCACCATGCCCAGAAGAGAAACAACACCACTATATTTGTTGGTGTGCCGCCGAGACCTGAGTGAGTGCTACTGGGACACAGAAGTGGACTGTCCAGAAGGACCTCAACAGCCCAGACACCTGGGGCTGAGATGCCTTGGGGTTTCCAGGGTGTGTGGGTGAGGTCTGTGCATCGCTGTCCAAATGTCAGGCTCTCCTGCTGCCAAGTTTCAAGTTTCCCTCCTTTCTCCTGCCCCAAGTTTCACCCATCCTTGGGTGAGAGCATCTGGGACTCCGCTGCCTTCCTGCTGGGGCCAGTGTCAAGTGTGGGCACGGCCAGCCCGCCCTGCTTTCAGCTTGACTGATAAACACGGAAGTGCGGGTCACACTCCAACGCTCCTCATGGAGGAGGCGGTTCTATGTATGCTTCTCCCACCCCGTGCAGGAGGTCACAGACCTAATCAGCCAGCACAAGGAGACAATGAAATGTGTGCTGGAAGACGCACTGCTGGTCGCCCTCCGCTTGGAGGGTGGCACTGTGCTGGCGCGGCTGAGGAGGGAGCAGCACGGTGCCGGCCAAGACTGCCGGTGAGTGTCATGCCGGGGCAGCGCGTCCCAGGGGTGACGCCTGTCTCTGCCACACGCAGCGTCTCCCAGCTGTTCAAACTTCCTTCCTTCTGGCAGGCACTCTTTGGACGGGAGCCTGTCTACACTTGTATCCTCTAAGGAAAAAGTAGCAGGTTCCTTGGAATGCTCAAGTGGAGGGCAAAACTCATCATAATGGGATTCAGGGATTCAGCAGTCAGAAGTCCTGACCCAATGCTTCTCTGACTCCGTCCTGGGGTGCCACTCGCTCACTTTTCCCTACCCCTACCACCTCGGAGGCACCTGCACTCGTGGCTCCTGGGCTCGTTCCTGTTCCTGCTGTGGCTGTGGACCTCCCTGGGGCGTTCTGTTTGTGTCAGATGTGAGGGATGCAAAGAGGGCGGTTGTGACTCTTTAACTTGGGGTGTGTTTAGCATAGTAACAAGTTTCAAAACTGAAAATTCTGGATCCATTTTTTTTTTTAAAGATTTCTTTTTTTTTAATGTTTATTTATTTTTGAGAGAGAGAGACAGAACACAAGTGGAGGAGGGGCAGGGAGCGAGGAGGACACAGATTCTGAAGCAGGCTCCAGGCTCTGAGCTGTCAGCACAGCTGTAGGTTGTCACCAACAGCACGTCTGCTGGGTGATTGCCTGTGAACAACTAGTGGTCGCGGGTTGCTCTCTGACACTTTCTCTTCCAGAGATGCCATCGAGGTTGCCTCCAGGCTGTACGATCAAGTAGACGAAGAGGTCCACAAGGTGGTCCTTGCCTCCAACAGGTGTCTGCAGGAGCTGGAGAGGCTACGGGAAGCGAGGGTGCTCCAGGAGGGACAAGGGCAGGTAAGTGCTTTCAGTCAGAGGAACCAAGAGAGAAAAACATTTTGAAACCCTGCACCTGAAATAACCGACGTTAACGTGCAGTGTGTTATAATCCGGACTTTTCTCCGTGTACATATGCATGTAAAAGCTTTTCGGAAGCCTGCACACGTTCTTGCTTAAATCCTTATGCTTTTGTCAACCACTCTTTCCGTGTAAGTGAATGTGACACAGGAGCCCACGCACAGCCAGCGGTCAGTGTGAGGCAAGGCCAAGAATGGCTGGAGGCCCATGTGTCCCTTTGGGGCAGTTAGGGTTGGGGGGATGGCCACTGGCAGGGCATCCCCAGGCTGAACCCCCAGCAAGCACAGTGGCATGTGGAGGCCTCCCGTGGCTCCGGCTCTCCTCTTATACACACCAGTGACTGCATTTTCACACTTCGTGATCGTTTGCTGTGGACAGGTTCCTAGGCTTGAGACGGCTGGGTCAGGGCCCACAGTGTGTGAGGTTTGTACACATTTGCCAAATGGTCCTGCAAACAGCCTGCCCAATTTAGATTCTCAGCAGCAGCCTGGAGCACCCCTTCCTCACTGAAGTGAAAAGAAGTACCTCCTCCTTGTTTGCGTTTGGGATTTTTATGCTAGAGGTGAACTCTTTCTTCATCTGTTTATTGTTATTTTTACTTATTCTCTAACAAATGGCTTTTCCCTGCACTGGCCAATTCCTGCAGGTCAGAAGTTTTACTACTAGGCATATTACTCACACTGAGCCTCCAATTATGTGGCAGATGTGTTCCCCAGCTTGTCATTGTCCCTCAACTTTGCTTGTGATTGAAATGGCTTTTGCTACCTTAAGGTCACAGAATGACTAATATAGTCCATCATAAGACTTTCATGGTTTGAATTTTCCCAGTTACATCTTCCATCCAACCAGAATATTTTTCATGAGGCTGGAGGTGGGATCCCATCCCTGAGGGGCCTCCGCTCCATTGATCATTTCCCACTCTTCTGCCCAGGGGCTCTCATGCTGCTTGTGTTTGTAAAAACCCAGATTGGACATTTTTCTATATGACTCTGTCCACAAAGAGTGTGTGCTGATCTCTCTTCTCTGCATGTGCATCAGTGTCACTAAGTACGGTTATGTGGCCTTGGATCCAGCCCATCACCACGTTGGTGAAAACCTCTTCTTGGGCCCCTAACAACCAGGTGTCCTTGGCATTGCTATCTAATGAGAACATGCATGAAAATAAAGTCTTAACCCCCAACGTGTTCACTGTTCATGAGTGATCTTGCCACGGGATGCTGTGTGGTGCAGGCAGGGCCACCGTCAGCCCCTCCGGCTCCCACAGGCAGCCCCTCAGGGTCCTACTGCCACCAGCCTGAAGAGGATTCTAGGGTATGGTTAGCATAGTAACAAGTTTCAAAACCGAAAGTTCTGGATTCATTTTTCTTTCTTTCTTTTTTTTAAAGAAGATTTTTTTTTTTTTTTTTTTTTTTTTTTTTTTTTTTTTTTTTTGCATAGTAACAAGTTTAAAAATGGAAAGTTCTGGATCCTTTTATCTTTCTTTCTCTTTTAAAAAAGATTTCTGTTTTTTGCATAGTAACAAGTTTAAAAACAGAACGTTCTGGATCCTTTTTTCTTTTTTTTTTTAAAGAAGATTTTTTTTTTTTGCATAGTAACAGGTTTAAAAACAGAAAGTTCTGGATCCTTTTTTCTTTCTTTCTTTTTAAAGAAGATTTCTTTTTTTTTGCATAGTAAAAGTTTAAAAATGGAAAGTTCTGGATCTTTTTTCTTTCTTTTTTTAAAAGAACATTTCCTTTTTCTTTTTTTAATGTTTATTTTTGAGAGAGAAAGAGAGACAGAGTATGAGCAGGGGAGGGGCAGAGAGAGAGGGAGGGAAACATAGAATCAGAAGCAGGCTCCAGGCTCTGAGCTGTCAGCACAGACCATGAGATCATGACCTGCGCCTGAGACGGTGCTTAACTGACTGAGCCACCCAGGCACCCCTGGATCTATTTTTCAGTGGATCTTAATTTCCATTTATAAACCATGAAAAAGTTACAAATCTGAGCCATGGAGATTTGTGGTCAACCCTCTTCAACCAGAGCATGTCGATTCCCATCCACAGACTGAAGGGAACGTGTGTGTAAAAGCAGGGGTCACAGATCTTGTGGCGTGGCCTCCGTTGCTATGCAGCTGCTTCCGATTTATTTAAGGTGCACCGCTTGTGTGCATCAGGATGGGGTGTGCGGGCTGTCGGAACCAAGTGAGCCAGTGCCTGAGTGGCATCTGCTGCTTCCGGTGTCCCCACGATCACAGAGCTGGACTCCTTCACATGATTAAAAATAAAGCCTTGTTTTTCCTACATAGATCAAATTGTGGTTTGAAAAAGGAGAGAAATTCCTGGCCTCGTGGAGCTGCTCTGTCTTGAGAACACGCAGCAGCAGTGGGGGTACTAGACCTTCCACAACAGGCTGATGGCATGCACACAACAGAGGACACACACACAAAAGCAGAGTAAGCACCAGGCTCATGCTGGTAGTTTGCTCCTTGGACGACTGCAGTATTGTCAGAAATATTGCAGCTGGTAGAGAACAGCTCCCAAGGCACAGGGAAAGCGACCCTGGACTTGAGAAGGTGGCTGCGCACCGTGTCCAGCTGGGCTGAGCAGACGGAGGGGGAGCTGGCCGGGGGGCCCACCTCTCTGACTTCTATGAGGCCGTGAGAAGCTCAGCGGAATCACCTCCAGGGAATCTGCATGTGCTGTGGACATTTAGTGAGCACCGTCCCCTGCAGGCCTGAGTGGGTCAAGCTCTGAGACAGCTGGCCAGCATGCCCCAGCACTGCACCCCAGGCTCTCAGCCACCATGTGAGGAGCTTATTTATTGTACCAGGCAGAGAGGCAGAACGAACATGTGAACTTTTCTCCACTTACCGGCTCAGCTATAAAAGTCTACTTATTGCCAGAGACCCCCAAACAGTCGCTGCAACACAGCCCGTGGCTGAAAATTCACCAGCACCCCAGAATTGCCTGGCTGTTAGGGCTGCCGGGGCCAGAGCCCTCAAGAGCACAGCTCCTTGAGTGGGATCCAAGTGGTCAGGGAAGGCCAGGGCAGGGGTAGGAACTCTGTCCCTCCCACTGCCACGGCCTCTCACACCCGTCAGAAGTGTGGAATCGCTGATTTCATGGTCTGTCCAGCCCTGGCATCCCGGGGCCCTGGGACAACCCCACCTGCTGCTCTTGGGGACTGTGGAGGATTCAGACCCCTTTGAGCTCATGCACAAAATCATCTTGCCTACTCTTGGGCCAAGTCTGGCTAGCAGCTGCCTCTGTGGGCAGAGAGGTCTTCCTCTTGTTCTGACCATCTGGCTCTCCCCGGTGCTTGATATGGAGAACCTGGAGAGCAGAAGGAGCGTGACCTGGGTTCACTTGAGCTGCTCATCGGCTACATGAGTTTGGGTGGGGCCGACAGTGCTCCACTGCCCTGACCAGCACCCTCTTTGCCGTGTAGGTGGATGGGTGGATGCTGCAGTGTCTGGAACACCTGGGTCCCGAGCCGGTCACTGAGTATCCGAAGAGCTGTCACCAGGAGGCCACAGAGCTGACTGCGTGGAGTTTCCCCGGGGCGAGCACGGTGGAGGCAGGCCTGGGCAGCTGGCGGGCACTGCCGCAATGGCACAGCTTGTGGCTGCAGAGCCAGCAGACTCGACTCTGCTTCCAAGGGGCCCTTTCTGGGGCTCCCCCCGACCCTGGGGCCCCACCTCTGAGCCCGAGCCCCCTGCAGTACGAGCTTCCCCAGGGGGCTGAGAGGAGGCACTGTGAGCCTTCTTGGATCCCCCACACTGATCCGGAGGGCCACACTGGGGAGCGTGCCCAGCTGCTGCTCGGCCTCCCTGAACAAGCCGCTCTCTGCAGGCAGGAGGGTGAGCACCCGGCCCCAGACAACGGCCCTGCCTGCTCCTCCGAGCCCATCCAGACCCCCACAACCCACCCCAAGAAGTACCCCCTGAAGAAAATTATGAGGAAAACACAAAGCTTTGAGATTCCACAGCTTGACAGTGGCCCCCGGGACTCCCCCTGGCCAGGCCACACTGGGGTTTTCATCAGGGGCCTGGAGGTGACCAGCACTGTGGCCTCAGAGAAGCAGCCCCCACCGAGGCCACATGCCGAGAGCCCCCTGGGTACTCGGACGCGGAGTCTGTCCTCTCCCTCCAGGATCCACCCATCCGAGGAGGACAGGAGGAGGCAAGCAGGAAGGTGAGGTGCACGTCCTCCAGCCTTTGGGCCTCGCGGTCAGTGGGGTGCCAGAGAGCTGAAGCCACTAAATGCACTTTCACAAAATCGTAAATCCACAAACATCTCTCCAGGCCCATCTTGTCCTGTCCAGGCAGCACACTTGTGTTCGATTTTAGGCAAGATGTTTTTTTACCTCCTGTGTTCAGAACGGTCATTGAAAACTGCTTCCCACCCGCTCTCATCATTTGAGGCCAATTATAGAAAATCACAATAAGCAAATCACACCTACAATATGAAGAAATTACCTTAAGAATTACTTTAAAAAAAAAAAAAGCCTTTCAGCATTGAGGTGAGAAGTATGTGTGTGCTTTTATCCATTGCGCAAATGGAGATGTCTGTATTAACTTGTTAAATGTTTAAGAAGATATTTGTAAAAACATACTTGTTATTCACGGTAGGATTAAAAAGTGGGCAAGAACTGTGCCCCATGCTAAGGGCAGGTAGTGACTCTCACCTGACACCACGGCCTGCCCCTTGGGTTCTTAGTCCATTTTTATAGTGAGCAGGGTGGGCCACAGGTGGGCTGTCCTAGCCTTCCTTGCTCGTTTGGTTGGTGGATGTGTTTCCTCCTCATACAGAGAACACCTCTGACCTGAGACGATCACCAAACACTCTCCTAAAACACACCTCTATGTTTCAGACTCCAGGTGGTTACAGTGCACCTAGTTCAGGGAGGAACCTTAGGTGGAACAGGAAGGTTTCATCTGGGAGCACATGAGGTGGGTTTCCCTGGGGGTTGGAATCCCTGGGAAGGCTCCAGGAAGAACCACTCTCCACCTCCCCTGAGCTCATCTGAAAGCTTTCAGAGGCACAGAATGCCCTCCACTCGCTGAGAGCCCCCCTGGTCACCTGCAGTGGACATCCTCGGTCTGGAGGGAACAGGTTTGGGAAGCCATCCTGCCTTTGCCCCTGGGGACAGGTACCCTCTTCCACCTTACATGATCCACGGACCCACCAACCCAAGGTTCGGTAGCAGATTCCACGGCACACCAGAGACGGAGCACTTCCTCCTCGGGCAGGAGAGAACATTTAACCCTATCTCCCATGAAAACCCTGGCCCTTCTGCCAGTTGTCCAGATACAGTTCCTGTCACTTGGTCCATTTCCCCACATCTTTCTAACCATTATTTCCTAGAGAGTCAATTTCCAATTAACTTGTTCCAAACCCCCAGACCATCCTAGTTTTGTTTCTGAGTATTTAAGGGTGCTTATACTGGGCAAATGTTGACAGGTGGTGTGCTGTGGGTACTGGGGCCTTGGGTTGGCTGGGGGCACCTCCAGGCCACACGTCCCAGCAGTACCACGAGGTCTGCGTGCTCCCAAGCAGCCAGCACGTGCTGCCCCCTGAGAAACAATAGGTATTTGTAAATCTGTTATGTGAGTGTGATAAGGAACAAGCACGCCAGCTGCAAATGGGGTGCATTCGGCAGCATTTCTGACCACAGGTGTCTTTCCTATCATTGGTTGCTTTTCATTGTTTTCCATTTAAAAAAAACAACAAGTACATACAAGTAATGGCAAAAAAAGATCTACCAGCCCCCATTAGTATTATCGAGATTGAGTAATGTAGGGAGGTTGCTGGCAGAATGCCGTCAAACAGGGGTAAGACTTTTGTGCCTCATTACTAGCAGGGTGGGGCTCCCAGTTCGCCAGCTCTTCTCGGTGCCTCCAGAAGTGCTGTGTGCAGCAGAGACATGGCCCCTGCTTGGACCACACCAGCAGGAGCCCAGGGAACCCTCTGCATGGCAGGGAAGAGACAGCCTCCCCACTGCTGCCCTCCTTTGCTCCGTCCTGGGCCCACCTGCTCCGCATCTTCTCCAGCAGCTTCTCCTCGGCCTCTGGGTCAGACGTCTCTACAGCATAAAGCTGAGTTTTCAGAAATCCCTTCTGGTAGGTTAGCAGTCCGTGTGCATCAGAAGCCCTCTTCTCGTGAATCCTCACCACAGCCTTCTATGCAGTGTTCAGATCTCCCTACTCCCAGAGTTCTTCATGCAGAGGGTGCCAGAATCAAGCCATCTGTGAATGAGAAACCTCACAACTCTGGGTTGGAGTTAGGGGGCCTGGGAATCTCTCCTTTTCACTTTCCGAAAGGATCTTTTGTCCCAAAAGGCCATGATCAATAATACAGAAATTTTTCGTGCAACCAGTTTGTTTCTAATCACGTCCCTGCCCGTTTTTCTCATCTCATTCGTCACGTCAAAGGAGCAGCTCCAGGGAACAGAGCACACTTGACAGCATTCGTTGCTGAACAGAAAACTTAATCACAAAGGTTCTCCTGCCCACGAATAGGTTTATTCCTCTGGGTTTGCAGAGCATTCTGTTTCTGTGTGAAGCAGCAACAGCGCGGACGAAGGGTCTCTCGAGGCCTGGAGTAAAGCTGTGACCCGTGCACAGCTGAGTGGCCACCTGCTTCTCTGTCTTCCAGCAGCCGACTGCAGCACATAATGGCCGAGATGGTTTCCACAGAGAGGGAGTATGTCAGGTCCTTAGGATATGTCATCGACAACTATTTTCCAGAAATGGAAAGGACAGACCTGCCTCAGGACCTTCGAGGGAAGCGCAGCATGATCTTTGGGAACCTGGAGAAGCTCTATGACTTCCACCGCCAGCATTTCCTCGCAGAGCTGGAGCGCTGCCAGCCCTGCCCCTTGGCAGCGGGCCGCGGGTTCCTGAGACACGTGAGTCCCTCCCTCCTGGGCGCTGACACCAGTGTGGTAGACCGAGGTGCCATCAGCCCAGGTCGCCCTTGGAGAGGCTGGGTCTGGTGACGCCCACGTTTCGGATCGTTTGGATCTGTCTGCAGACCAGACATAGGAAATGTGTCACTAATAGTATGTAAGACCTGCCAATAAACAGATGACCAAAATAGACAAGACGCTTGTGGGTCTGATCATACTGGATATTTTGCTCCGTGTCCCCTGAAGGCACCCTTGGCTCCCCCAAACCATATGACACTGGGGGCTTCACCTGCATCATCACCCCTAATTCTGTCGAATGCCCCACTTCTCACTTAAGGTAATTGGCCAACAGCACCTCCCCCAATCAGCTTGCTTCCTGTACTTAGGAGCCCACCTGGTCCCCCTGCAGGTGGAGCCCGGGCCAGCGCAGGGAGCTCTGAGCCAGTCCAGTCGGACCTTTGACAGAGGTTCACGGAGTGTGCACGTTAACTCGAGAAAGGCTGCTCTCTCCTTGATAAGTGTCTTCTCAGCAATGAATATGGGATGTCTCCCTATCTACGTCTTTAATAGAATTCTTAATTCACTCTGAAAAGAAAATGCTTTCACCAAATTACCAAGTAGTGTTCTAGGTACTGGGGACCTAGTGGCATCTGTGTTGTGGGCAGATGAGACACTGACCTCAGCGTTATAAATGTCCAAGGATGAAAGAAATCCCATGTGGCGTCTTGTTTTAAAATTTAAGCTCAAGTTAGTTAGCATACCTTGTAGTCTTGGCTTCAGGAATAAACCCTGCTTACCCATCACTTACATACGACACCCCGTGCTCATCCCAATAAGCGCCCTCCTTAATGCCCATCGCCCATCTAACCCATCCCCCACCCACCTACCTCCAAAATACCTCTCTGTATTTAAGAGCCTCTTATGGTTTGCCTCCCTCTCTTTTTATCTTATTTTTCCTTCTCTTCCCCTATGTTCATCCGGTGTGTTTCTTAAATTCCACATATGAGTGAAATCATATATCTGTCTTTCTGTGACTGACCTATTTCACTTAGCATAATACCATCTAGTTCCATCCACGTTGTTGCAAATGGCAAGCTTTCATTCTTTTGGATGGCTGAGTAGCATTCCATTGTGTATATATACCATATCTTCTTTGTCCATTCATCAGTCAGGTGACATTTGGGCTCTTGCCATAACTTTGGCTACTGTTGATAATGGTGCTATAAACGTTGGGGTGCATGCGCCCCTTCGCACCCGCACTCCCATTTCCTTCGGATAAACACCTAGTAGTGTAATTGCTGGGTCGTAGGATAGTTCTATTTTTAATTCAGCTATTTCTAAGAAGGTGCTTTTAGCCGTAAGGTGAACTCTGTGTCGTTTTATATTATTGACAACGGTGAGAATTTTACCGGTTAACACAACTTTGGTTCTTGACCATTAAATGAACAAAGGCTCTCCATGCCCCTTCCCAGGCCAGCCTCATGAGGACTCCCTCTCCCTCTTCCCCCAAACCCTATATGGTAAAGACCGATTCTAGAACTCTGGCCCGGAGCCGAGCAGGCCCTGCAGGCTGGGAAGCCTAGAAGATTGTAGTGCAGCACCGAGGCTCCTTCTGTCACGCCCACAGGGGGACTGAACACGGAGGGTGAGGAGAGAGGCATAGACTCTGACCCCAGCCCCCGACTCAGATGCATGGTGCCCTCCCCTTTTGCAGGAGGAACAGTTTGGCATGTACGCGCTTTACAGCAAGAACAAGCCCCGGTCAGATGCTCTGCTCTGCAGCCACGGCAACGCCTTCTTCAAGGTCGCCCCCCCACCCCGCGAGCCGCGCCGCCCCCCACCCGGCCCAGGGGCTGACCCTCTCACCCTGGCCCTTGCAGGACAAGCAGCGGGAGCTGGGAGACAAGATGAACCTGGCCTCGTACCTGCTGAAGCCCGTGCAGCGTATGGGCAAGTACGCACTGCTTCTCCAGGACCTGGCCAGGGAGGCCAGCTGCTGCCCTGCCTGGGAGCAGGAGCTGGGCGAGCTCCGGGCTGCCGAGGGTGTGGTCCGCTTCCAGCTGCGCCATGGCAACGACCTGTTGGCGATGGATGCAGTCCGAGGCTGTGATGTAAGTGCCCTGAAGCCCTGATGGGCTCTCACGAGTTCAGGAAAGATGTGGCCTGGTATCAGAGCACATACGCTTTCCTTTGGGGAAGTCTCCCGAAGCTTGAGAACTCTCAAGGGGCTGGCAGGTGAGGGGAGCAGAGAGCGGCTTCCCGTCCAGGTGACTGGAGCAGCAGCTGCAGGGTGTGAATGGCAGGCCATCTGTTTATTAGGGCTCCTTGAGGACAACTGGATGCATGAAAATGTGGGCCATCGGGCTTGGGGCAAGCCAACATTGGCGCGTCCCATGCTGCCAACCTCTCTGCTGGAGTGCTGAGGGCCGGCATCCATGCCCCACCCCACCACAGTAGCATGGTAGGACCAGCATAGGCAGAAGAGGACCCCTTTCTCTGGCAGAGCCCCTTATGTCTGACATTCAGAGGGACAGCCCCAGAATTCCCAGTACAAAATGAAAATGTGGGTGCCCTGCTTAAAAACAGCACTAAGAGTTTCATGAGCAGTAATCTGAGCACGGGCCCTTCTGGCCACCATGATGCAGCACAGCCCCCAGGCCACCACCCATATGGATGTCCTCCCACTGCCAACGCTGGGCACCTGCAAGGTGAGCTGGCCTGTGCGTGGGCTTGGCTAGGGATGTGCCCACGTCCTGCCCTGCCTCTTCAGCCACGCAGACTAGCAGGAGCCCCGACCCTGAGGGTTTGGCACCAGTTACAATGTGTGGGTTTTTCCCCCACACATCCGAGCAATTCTCAGATACCAGCTGGATGTCCTATAATTCAACTCAATGCTGACACCATCTGCCTGGACATAGCATGAGACCCCCACAGGTGAAGGGCTCCCCTTCCTGTGGCAAAGGTCAGAACCCAGAGAAGCAGTGTACTTATGACCTCACCAGTGTACCGTAAAGGGCACAACTCAGGAACAGCCAGATGGAAGAGAGGCACAGGGCCAGGTGCGTGGAAACGGGTGCAGAGCTTCTGTGCCCCCTCTGAGCGTCTCACCTCTTCACCAAGCAGTAAGCTCTCAAAGCCTGTCCTTTGGGGTTGTATGGAGGCCTCATTATAGGACTCATTGATTGAGTCACTGGCCACTGGTGATCAATTTCACCTCTAGCCCCTCTCCCCTCTCCGGAGGCCGAGGTGGGGTCAGGTCAGGTCCCACTGTCCCTGAGGGAGGCTGGTTCCATCTGCAGGTAAATCTGAAGGAGCAGGGGCAGCTGAGATGCCAGGACGAGTTTATCGTCTGCTGTGGAAGGAAAAAGTATCTGAGGCACGTCTTCCTCTTTGAAGACCTCATCCTGTTTAGCAAGACCAAAAAGGTGGACGGAGGCTACGACACCTACATGTACAAACAGTCCTTCAAGGTAACACGCCTGCCTCTCACCGGACGCCGCTGGGTGTCAGGTCCTGGTCTGCTGGGTGTGAGCAGGGACATGTGCTATCTGTTGTTTTCTGTGATTCTGTGTCTGGGCTTCGAAAGCCTCAGACCTTCAAAAACTGCAAGGAGACACTTGTCCTTTATAGTTCCATGTACTGGTTCAGTGGCTGGAAAAAGTCTCCTCAGTCGGTAACTCCATTTCAGATTTTGGCATGTCTATAGGTGTGGCCCTCACCTGACTGAGCTTCTGAGCTCCTGAGAGGGTCCCACAACCACAATGCCTTACCTGCCCATGCCAAGGAGCATATCAGAGAGGGTTCTGTAGTCCCATCCGGTGTGGCAAACACAGAACCTTCTAGGCCGGACTTCCTTTCTCCAGTGGGGGAACTGAGGCCCCAAGAGGGAGCCATTGCACATGATTGGAACCCAGTTCATCCAGTGGGCCCCAGGCCTGCCTCATCCCTACCATTTGATGTCTGGGTGAAGAGACTCCCAACACTGAGGTGCTGGGGTCAGTCAGCCAGGGAGTGGTCAGTTGGATCAATGGTTGCTGATGCGGCTGCCACTCACTGCTTGTGGTGCAGACAGCCGAGATTGGGATGACGGAGAACGTCGGAGACAGTGGCTTGAGGTTTGAGATCTGGTTCCGCAGACGGCGGAAATCCCAGGACACCTACATTCTCCAGGCCAGCTCTGCAGAGGTCAAGACAGCCTGGACCCACATGATAGGGCAGATCCTGTGGCGGCAGGCTCTGCGGAACAGAGGTGGGCAAAAAAGGGCTATCGAGAGCCAGCTCTGTGTTTAGGGGTCTGGCCTTGGAGTAGAGGTTTGGGGCCAGGGGTTAGGGGCTAAGTTCAGGCCAGGGGTATGGGGTCAGGGGTTGGGGTCAGGGGTTAGGGGGTTGGACCTGGGTAGGTGCTTGGGGCCAGTTTGGGCCAGGTGGCCCTTGGAGAGCCCTAGGCCCAGGTGGCCCCTGGGAGGCCCCCTCCGTCAGCACCATTTATGTGGAAGTGGCTGGATCCTTCCATCAGCACACAAACACATATTTCCCCTTTACTCATGTATAAACAAGACCCCTGTCCCCACACCACGGCAATTCCAGAGATGTCATGACAAAGCACCATGCCCTCCTGGATGATAGGACACTGTTGTCTCCCTGAAGGCGAGGGACCTCTTCTGTAAGGCCCTGTGCTCCATGTGCCAGGACCCCACCTAGGTTTCTGCCCCGACATGCTCCTGGTCTGGATTGATGGTGTTGGGTGCAGAGCATCAACAGGTGTGGTATCAAAGCCAAGCCACTGCTTGGAAAATGTCCTACCTGCTTCTGTTTTAGAGCTCAGAATGCAGGAAATGGTGTCAATGGGGATGAGCACCAAACCGTTCGTGGACATCCAGCCCAGCGATGCAGCCATAAGTGATCGGGCCGTCAAGAAGGGGGCAGGTAATGTGGCCTCAGCCCTCACTCTCACTCTGTTCCGCCGACTCAGACTCAAGTCCTGGCGCTCACTGTGGGCCCCAAGGGCCAGCACAGTGGGCTGGACGTGACTGCAGTGAGAGGGACCTGGTCAGTTTTCAGATGGCCAT